CTCATGGCGACCTATGCTAACACTAGCATTAGACCATCTACCCATAATCATCTCGATCAATAAGCCCACCGACTTTGCTCCCGCGGACCACCGAACCTACACCAACTTCAACAAAGCTGATTGGGACGGCTTCGCGGAATTCACCGAGAGCAGCTTCGCCGCCCTTCCCACACCCACAAACATACATACTGGCGAACGCCAGTTCCGAAGGGTAGTCACTGCCGCAGCTCCTCGCTTCATCCCGTCCGGACGTATCGCGGAAGTCCGCCCGAATTTCCCGGCCGAAGCAGCTGTACTAGCAAATGAGCGTGACCACCTACGCCAGGTCGACCCCGGGCACCCCCGTCTGAGGGACCTTTTATTTTGGAGATTCGGCAACTGGTAAATCAGCATAAGCGGAAAAAGTGGGAGGAGCACTTGAAGGCCTGTAACTTCACATCTGGTGTGAGTAAGCTCTGGTCAACCGTGACGTCCCTGTCTAACCCAACGAAGCGTGATGACAGAGTGGAAATCTCTTTCTAAGGTCGCGCTTCTTCGGACCCGAAGAAATGCGCAGCCTACTTTAGTAGGCAATTCACACTGCACCTTTCGGTAGACAAGGCCCAACGTCGAGTGACCAGGAGGCTGCACAAGCTGCCAAAAAACAGTGCACCACTTGCTTTCACTAGCTGTGAAGTGAAGGGGGCCATCGGGAAGGCGAAAGCCTCCAAAGCCATTGGACCCGACGGAATCTGTATGCTGATGCTAAAACATTTAGGGCCTAAGGGAGTAGCTTACCTAACGGAGGTCCTCAACCTGTCCATGGCCACTCTCATCATTCCTGACGTGTGGAAATCAGGGAGAGTGGTCCCACCGGGGAAGCCCGCCAACAAAGGAGACTCTTATCGCCCGATAACGCTCCTTTCTCCGGTCGCGAAGACGCTTGAGGCCCTACTACTCCCATACTTCACTTGCCACCTGACCCCAGCGAAGCATCAGCATGGTTTCCGTAAAGTGCACTGTACAACAACAGCACTTAACGCCATAAACACTCAGATAACTCGTGGCCTTAACCGAAACCGTCCCTGTGAGAGAACGATTCTAGTAGCGTTGGACTTGTCAAAGGCGTTTGAAACCGTCTGCCATTCCACGCTACTAGAAGATATAGAGGCCTCCTCTCTCCCACAGAGGCTCAAACGGTGGTCGGCAAATTATCTGAGTGGTCGACACTCGTCGGTAATGTTTAGAGACAAAACGAGTAAACTGAGGAAAATAAATAGGGGGTTCCACAGGTTGGTGTCCTTTCCCCGCTACTGTTTAACTTTTACATTTCAAAGCTCCCTCAACCACCACAGGGAGTCTCGATTTCTCTTATGCCGACGATTGCTCGATCATGGCGACTGGGAATGGAATTGATGACCTGTGTTCGAAAGTAAACGGGTATCTCTCCGAACTTTCTCGCTTCTTCACTGCAAAGTGTCTAGCCCTCTCCCCTACGAAATCCTCTGCGACCCTGTTCACAACCTGGACGAAGGAGGTCAGGCTACCGCTGGGAATTCACGCCGATGACACACCAATTCCGACGGTGAATAACCCCAAAATACTCGGAGTAACATTCGACAGCCTGCTCTCCTTCTCTGCGCTCGCAACCGTTATTGTCAATAAAGTACAGAGCCGCAACAAGGTCCTCAGTTCGCTAGCCGGCAGTACTTGGGGCAAAGACAAAGAAACGTTGCTGGCAACATACAAGGCAATAGGCCGGCCGGTTTTGAACTACGCAGCGCCAGTGTGGTCGCCGGGGAGTAGTAGGACGCAGTGAACGAAGCTACAGACTGTACAGAACACCGCACTCAGGACAGCGACAGGATGCCTCCTGATGTCGCCCGAACACCATCTCCACGGCGAGGCGCAAATGCTCCTCGTAAAGGAGCACACCATAATGCTCTGCAAGCAGTTCCTGATCGGGAGCCACAGAAGTGGCCACCCAAACAGACAGCTGCTTGCAGAGGAGCCCTCGCCTAGGCACGTCAGGAGGCATCTAAATGAACTGACGGACGAAGTCCAGAGGTTCATCAAGCAACCTCTGGACCCGTCAGCTTACCGACTGGCCCTGAACGGCATTCACAGGGAGTCAGTCTCGAGTTATGTAGACTCTAGACCTGTGAATGCCGTTCTAGGCATACCGCCCCCGGACACAGACGAGACGGAGCTTCATCTGCCTCGGGAGACACGAACGACACTTCGCCCCGGCTACTGCAGCAGGTTAAACTCCTACCTGAGTAGATTGAATGAGGATGTGCCAAATTAGTGCCCGGCATGCGGAGAGACCCCACATGACTCGAAACATCTCTTCGCATGCCCGGAAAACCCGACAACCCTAACGGCCTTGTCCCTGTGGACCAACCCCACAGAAGCTGCACGCTTCCTAGGGCTGCCGTTAGTGGAACTTGACGACAACGACTGAGATACCAACCGTCCTGGGCGGGGTTGTTGTAGTCCGAACCCATTGAAACAACTCGTTTCATGGGCCTCCCGTTAGTTGAGCTTGACGAAAATGATTGAACGTAGACCCGAAAAAGGCGGGGCTTAGTAGTGCCGCTACAACAACAACAATAACAATCAGGTTAGACTTTAAGCCTTTGAATAGCACACCCTAAAACTCATACATAAAACCCATACACACTACTTTAAAAACGTGCTTAAAGGTTTTACTAAAAAGTGTTTAAGAATAAAAGTTTTGATTTAAAGACAAATGAGGGCAAAAGTGTAGCATAGCGACTTCTCACTCCGGAAAATAGTCCTGACTTTTTTCCTGAAATGGAATGTTTATAACGTTTCTGAAAATTTTAGAATCTCACAATAACTATATTTCATAAATATTGAACTGATTCGAATCAAAAAACTTTTACGAACACTTATTCACGCTTTATTATAAAAACAATATTTACTATATCTGTGCCCTTATCTATACATATAATAAAATTGTAACACGTCGATGTCTGTGCATTATAGATATTAAAGAAAAATTAATGTGGGGTGTCTTTATTAGAGCACCAGAAGCCAAATCAACCATTTTTAGAGTTTTTGTCTGTCTGTCTGTCTGTCTGTATGTTTGTTCGCGCATCACTTGAAAAAGAATGCATGGATTTGAATGCAGTTTTCACCGATGTATTGCTAGAGGTCTAACTTAAAATATAGGAAGAAAAAAATTAGAGAGTTGCCACCTGTTTGAAAATTGAAGTTCAAGTAAATTGATAAGAAAAAATGAATATTGCAATATGGGCGTCAAAAGAAAGAGGCTGAAGAAGGCTTACAGCCAAAAATAGTTTTTTTTGGATTGCCACCGGTTTGAAAATTTACATTTAATTTAATTTATAAGATATTGAATATTGCAATATGGGTATCAAACTGAAGGGGTTTAGGAAATTTTATTGCCGAAAATATTTTTACGGAGGGCTGCCACCTCTTTGAAAAATTTTATTGTAATTAATTGATAAAATAAATGAAATCTATATCTACATCTATACATATTATAAAATTCAGGCCGATGTCTATACCTTATAGATATTAAAGAAAAATTAATATGGTGGGTTTTTATTAAAGCTACAGAAGCCAAATAAACAATTTTTAGAATCTTTGAATCTGCCTGTCTGTATATTTGTACACGGATCAGTCGAAAACATGGAATTGAATGCAGTTTTCACCGATGTATCGCTAGAGATATAGCTTCCAATATAGAAGAAAAAATTAGAGAGTTGCCACCTGTGTTTAAAATTTCAGTTTAAGTCAATTGATACGGTAAGGTGAATACTGCAATATGGCTGTCAAAAGAAAGAAATTTACAAAGGCTTACAGCTGAAAATATTTTTGTGGAAGGTTGCCACCTATTTGAAAACTTTAATTTAATTTAATTGATAGCATAAATTAAATATTGCAATATTGGCATCAAACTAAAGAGGCTAGGAAATTTTAATGCTGAAAATAAATTTTGGGGATTCGCAAACTGATTGAAAAATTGTATTCATTAAAATTTGTAAAATAAATTAAATATTGCAATACGAATATTAAACTAAAGAGGATTAGGAAGCTTACTTTTGAAAATATTCTTGAAGCCGGTTGCCACTTATTTGAAAACTTTAATTCAGTTAAATTTATAATATAAACTAAGTGTTCAAACGAGAGTATTTGAGAATAATAAAATTGCAACAGGCCGATATCTGTACATAATAGATGTTAAAGAAAAATTAATAGGGGGTTTATTAGATCAACAGAAGCCAAATATAAAATTTTGGTATGTTTGTCTGTATGTTTGTAAGCGCATCACGCAAAAGCTAATGTATGGAGTTAAATTCAGTTTTCACCGATGTACATATTGCTAGAGCTCTAACTGAAAATATAGAATCCATTTTTTTTTTGTTTTAGTTTATCGTCGATCATTATTCCTAGGTATTTGAACATATTAACTTTTTCCAGTGCGTCGTTGTTTATATTTAGAGTTAGCAACGGACCGTTCTCAAAATTTCGCCTTGACATAACCACAAACTTAATTTTTTTTTTATTTTTGTGTGGAAGGTTTTTCGCTAAAAAAAAATAAAACTTTTCGTTGTTGCTGCCAAAAAATTAAGAAATCTGACACGTCACGTTTTACAATTTCATACAGTTCTTTTACAATGTATTTCACTAAACTACTAAACGGCTGCATCGACTTGGTTCATATTTGGCAACACCTTGAAAACAAATATTCTGACCAAAAATTTACTCGGTATGTAGCTCGGGTTATTCCTAAAATTCTTATACAGACTAAAACGTAAAAAACCAATATATCTCTAAAACCAATTACGCTGGGGAACTGAAACTTAGCACTGATGCATATAACAAATGCATTGGGAAAGGGGGCGTGGCTCTATCCTTCCATACAAAC